AAGGGGTCCCCCCTCCCCGGCACCGCCGGGAGTCGCGCCGAGCCGGAGAGCGGGATGTGCGTGAGGGGGGCACCCGGGGGCGGCCGCGGGTGGGCAGGGGCAGCCCCTCAGCTCGGGCGGCGGAGTTGGAGCCGCGGCTTTGGGGGGCTCCGCGGAGGAGGAGGAGAAGGGTGTCCCCGGGAAGCTGCTGCGGGAGGGCAGGGCAGCTTCGGAGGTTCGCTGTTCCTGCCGCTTATTTATTTATTCGGATTCCTCCCATCTCCTCCTGGGTGTGGGGGGCACGGGGCGGCGGCGGCCGAGCCCTCCCAGCCTGGGTGGGTGCTGGGGCTTGGGGGGTGTCCGGGGTTTGTTCGCCGCGGAGTTTGGGGCCGGGCTGGTGCGACCCCCGGCGCTCCCCGTGCCCGGGACCCCCGGGGGCGGCAGGGGAAGGAGGGAGAGGTTCCGACCCTGCGGGGATGGAACCCCCTCGTCAGATCCCTGCCCTGGCTGGGGGCGTGCGAGGGCTCGGGGGGCTCCTTTTGGGAGCTTCGTGGAGGTGGATGGACGGGGGGGTCGGGGCTGCCCCAAACCCCGCTGGCTGCGGGATCTGTTGCAGCTCCCGGGGCTTTGGGGAGGGTTTTCGGGGATGGCGAAGGCGTGAACCCGAAAAGGGTGTCTGGTTGCTGGAGAGTTTTAACATGGGGACGGGTTGGAGGGGGGGAGGAGGAGGACCCGGAGGGAAGTCATTCCCAAAATGTGCGAGAGCTTGGGTGGGGTGTCAGACGCTTGTTTATTTTGCACTCCTTGGGAAGAGGTGAGGGGGGGTAAAATGCTTTTGTAGTCGTGCCTGGGATCTTTTTTTTTGGGGGGTGGGGAGGGAGGGGCAGAACAGTGCGTTTGACCGCAGGAGCGGTCGGGGGAAGCGGCTGGGAATTCTGCTGGAAGTGTTTTCCTCTGCTCCGGCGTTAAAACTAAACAAGAGCCGAGCGTATTTAGGTGCAGAACACACACCCGAGCCAGACCCCGCCGAGTTCCTCGACCTCAGTTTTGTCTGATGGGTTCTTTTTTTCCCAGTTGTTAGAGCGTTTCTTGGTATGTTTGCAAAGCACTTCTTCGGAAGCATTTCGTTCTTTGCGATAGGTCTGGAAAAGCCTTGCTTGCATGTGCTGGTTTTTTCTCCCAGTTCCTTCGTGCTGGGGACAAAAAAAAAAATGCTCTTTTTGGGGGTGGGGAAGGAAGAAGGAAGAGGAAATGAAGGTTTAAGCATGTTTGTGGAGTCAGGTCTCTCTCAGTTTGTTCTGCTCAAGTAACAACTGGGAGTGTGACTCGGTGGCTTTTAAGCACAGAACGTTTATGAACAAAAACTGCGAGGATTTAAACTTTATAGGGAGGAAAGTGTTAAACTGATGGGAAGGCACGCGTTTGAGAGAGCGGATCTCAGAGACGCTACCTACGTGCCCCTGCTTCAAACTAGTGGGGATGGAGGGGAAAAAACCCCCAGAAAACCGGTGGGGAAAAAAACCCCAAAACAACCACCCTACAATTTGCATGAATGATGCCACGTAAAATACCGGAGCGAGGAATTGTGCTCTGCAGACGAAAAGCCTGAAGTCCCGTGATATGACTCGCTCATTTCTGCAGGGCTCATCAGGTACAGGCTCTGCTTCCTTCCTGGGATGGTGCAGCTGGCATTTGATTTCCTCCATGGATGGGAGAGGAGGAGTCCTGTGCAGGTTTTTTTCCCCGAGATGATTGCATTTTCCTTGGCCTTGCTGTACCCGGCCTCATTAGTAGGAGCTGCATCTATATTTATTTACCATTATACCGTGTCCCTTGGGAAGTGGGGTGTAGTTTGGAGTAGGTATATATGGATTTATCACTCCTAACGTTTTTTTTTCCCCCTCCTTTCGGGGTAGGACCAAATCCGTCAACAGCGGAGAACAAACTTAATTTATTTCTGTGTTTTGCATCTCCCTTTTTGCCATTTCTCTCCCAAATTGCTGGAGAAAACATCTCGGAGATGCAGGCAGGGGAGAAGGAAGGAAGGGATGGAAAATGTTCTCTGTGCAGGGATGTGTTTGTTGTCTGCGTGTCCTGAGAGCAGCGGGCTCCGAAGGGGCAGGGTTTGATTCTGCAGGTGAAAACCGGGGTTTTGGGAAAGCTCTTTTTCCCCTTTTTGTGAGGATTATTCTTCACCCCCACTACGGCCACAACTTTTTGTGTCTGGTTGATACCCAACGAGCCTGGGCATGAGGCTGGGAACGAGGAAACTCGAGTTTCACTCAGCCTGTGCTTCCTCCCCTTCGCACCAGAACAGGCATCAGCGTTTTTCCTCCTGTGTCATCTCACTGTTGGGAGCAGGTCTAGACGACATTGTGGGGTGCAGGCTGCCAGCTGGGCTACAGGAATGCTATCCTAGGTGAAACAGCAGGATTTTTTAGGGAGGGGTAAGGAAACCTGAAAGAAAACCCCGCGTGGATGAGGCCTGGTTATCTCTAGAACTGCTTCGCTGAGCAGTCTCAAGCGGTTCCTTTCATTTGTTGACCTTTGTAGACAACGTGCATCTCTCTAGAATTGTGATTCTGATAATTCCAGGGAATTTGTGCCCGGTGTCAGCTGCAGAAAGCTTATTTTTAAGGCAGTTTCAGCGTGAGTCTTACTGATCTCTTTTAAAAGGATATTAAAAGTTCAAGGCTGTCCAGTGTTTTGAAAATTAAATTATTGTGAAGTGTTTACTTTATAGTGATAATCCGTAAGTTCATGGGAGTGTTTGGTATGTTTTCTCATCGCTGTCTGGAGCTGGGAAAACAGTGGGGTTCTGACATTCACTTTTAAAGCTAATTTAATTTTTAATAAAATGAATTTTTAATGAGCATGACTGTCAGGAATTGTTCTGTCGTTAACTTCTGGGACTGCTCTTGTTTTTTTTTTTGTTGTGTGTCAGTGGGGCAGTGGTGAAATTTGGGTCTTTGGGCGGGGAACTGGGAGAATTAATGAAACTGAGCCACGAGAAAGGAGGAGGCTGTGCTGTCCCTTTCACCAAGGGATCTCTGAAGATGTTTGGTTTAATGTGCTAGAAAATCAATCAATTTTCGTGGAACAACAGCTCATTTTAATCTAAAGAAAGCAGCTTGAGCTTCACAGTGATTTCTGTGCAGAGCTTTTAGGGACGTTGCGGAATGACACGTTACAGTGTTGGGATTCTGTGGCAAATATTTTTCATCCTCTTCAAAGTTTAGGATTTGAAATCAAAATGCTGTCAGGTTAGGAATCTTACTGCAGAAAGAAGATGCCTTTGTTCCTCCTGTCGATAACTTTGTGCAGCTTTGACAGTTCCAAAGTCCCTGAAGTTGATTCCGTGTTATACTGATTTTAGCGGAGCAGGGATTGGATTTTGCATCCATGTCCTTGTGGGATTGAGCTTTAATTATACCTGTGCTGATAACTTGATCTTGTGGGTTATCAATGCAGTGAGACTGATACTGTGATTACAGTGGGATTTTTGGGAGGTAATGAGGAGAATTTGATTTTTGGGGGGCGTCTAACTCATATCTCTAAAGCTGGTTTCATACATAAGGTTAGTAATAAACTGTGTTTATCATTCTAATATTCCCATATTGAGTAAAGCTCCCTTCTGACTCCTGTTAAATGAGGATGGCTGGGGAGCAAAGAGTAGGAAGAGTTTGTATGTGAGCACTCAGTCATGCAAACGGGCGGGTGGAGGCTGTGAATGCAATTCCCAGTGTTAATGCTAAAGATAAGTGTTTTGACAAATGCTTTTAATTTGGGGAACAATGCAAGCAGGAATGACAGGATATGAAAGGAAAGTGTTATTTTTCATCTGGCAGGTGGCAAACCAAGGTGTAGAGGGATTAACTTGCCCAGGCTCCTGCACGGAGTCAGCGGCAGAACTCGTAATCAGTCTCTGATCTCAGGGGTTTGCCAGGGCTTAAATCAGGGTTTTTCTTCCTCCCCTCATTAATTGGCCAACTTTCACATTTTGCAAATAACATCCAGAGATTATTTCTCTTTCCTCCAGTTTCAAACTTTAGAGCCTGGAGGGTGGTTTTTTTTTTTTGGTTGTTGGTTTGTTGGTTTTTTTTTCATTTTCACTGAAGCCTTGAAAACACAAGGTTGGAGAACTTGATCTGAGCAGCACCTCCCTGACATATGACACTATCTCGAAACAGCCCCTGACAAGTGAACCCTCTCATTGAAATCATGTGAGGAATTTTATTACTCAACTCTGAAGACCTTCTGGAGGAAAGGAGGTTGCAAACTATTAACTACGTGGTCTTCGTTGCAGGCTGGCAGATAAAATGTTCTTATGTGTTGGGGCAGTCACGTGGTTCCACAGCGAGAAGCAGTTGCTGACCAACTGAAAATTTCCTCTTGTCACTCTGAGAAACACATTTATTTTTGTGTTGTGCCTGCTAAAAAAGAGATATATTCACTTGAAATCTGGTCTTTTTTTAAACATGCGAGTGGTCGATTCCCTTCCCCTCTCGACTGGGCACTCCCACAGCGTTAGGGGAAGATTTTCTCATAGGCAGCCTCAAATTTTAGTGGGTTTGGGGTGCTTCTGTTCTTTGCTGCTGCAGTTGGGTTTGCCAGGGGCTTCTTGTTGGTACAGGCTGAGCAAAGGGCTCGTGTCACAGTTGTGGAGCTGCTGCTGTGACAGTTACGGCGTCGCAAAACCAAAACCTCATCGGGAGCGATCGATTTATGGCCGTAACTCCTGTGCTGGCTGGTTGAATATGGGTCTGCTGGTTCTCAGTCCATCACTGTGGCAGAGCCACTGTCCTCCTTGGCTATTCCACGATAAAACAATACTCTGTACCTTGGTTTGGAAGTGCTTGGCCTGAGGTATTGGCGTTTTAGAAACACAGAAACCGAGGCAGAAGGGCCAAGTGACTCACAGAGGCCACAAGCTGAGTCAGTGGCAGTTGAACACAGATGTCCCTTCCCCATCTATTCCACTTTATGATATATTGATATATATATATATTAACTTTATAAGGAATTTATTGGCTGGTCACCTAATGTGCTCATTAAGAGTACCTAAGTCAACGAGATTTTTTTTACAGCGGTGGGAGGATTTCTCATGTTCCATTGACTTCTGTGGATTGACACTTCTCATCCTTAGTTATTCAGTTAATTTTTTTGCTTTTAAATCCATTACATCCCCCCCCCCCCCCCATCAGGCCAAAAGCACTATGGGGTAAACTTTCTCCCAAGACTGTAAGGGATGCTCCTCTTTCTTCTGCTTCATTTAATAAGATTTTTTCAGTGTTAGGCTTCAGATCTATCTCAGGAATGCACATGCATGTTTATCATCTGTTTTGATTCAGACACCCAAAGGTTGAACAATCACTGTTTCAACTTGCTTCAAGAATTAAAAAAAAAAAAAAAAAAGTCATCTCTAACTGGTTATTCTCCCTGTCTGTGTGCAGATTTCCCTTTCCCAGTTCTTAATCAAAGCTGCAGGCAGAGTCTGAAGTGAAAGTGTGCTCTTAAAACTGGGAACTGCTGTAGTGCTTCTGACAGAGCGTGCTCTGCTTTATCTTCCCTGTGCAGCCAACCAGGAGGTGTGGAAGGTCAGTTCACTTTTTCCTACAGAATTCCTCTCTAATGTTCACTTCATCATCTCCTCTTGGTTTCAGGGCAATTACCAGCCTGCAACTTATTACCAGGCAGAGCCCTTGGTCAGGTTGTACCTGTGAATACCCCTAAATCAGTTCTGTGAAACACCTGGAAAAGATCCGACTTCATGTGTTACATCCATGGAATTCAGGCAGGTAGTGCTTCCAGTCTCTTTGTCCAATGGGTGGAGTGTTGCTTCTTGTGGAAGGGTTTCTTCCAGCCTGAGGAAACAAATTTTCACACCTGCTTCATGCATAGAGGTGGCATTTTTTTTTCGTTCTCCATATGTACAGTGTGTTTATTTAGGTTATCTAAATTTATGAGAAAGCCATTCATGAAAACCATGAGGTTTTAACATTGGGTGAAGGAAGGAATTTATAAGCCAGGTATAAAAAAATACATTAATTATGTTTGGCGGAATCTCACTTGGTCTGAGTTCCTGGTGTTGGTCTTCTCCTCACTTTTGAACTTAATATTCCAAACCCTTCCTTTCTTTCCACTTCCTTACAATTTTCAAGTTCAGCAGTAGAGTAACTGCCACTGAAACAATACTGTGGGTACTCTTTCAGTGGCCTTGTGAACAGCCAGTTTTGTTCTCCTGATAAGCCCTTGTCCTATCAATTGGGAAGTGCAGCATATAGTCATTTCCTGCATTTCGAGCTGCCTGTTCCCTCTGAGCCCTGAACCAAGCACTGAATCTGCTTTTTGTTCTTCCCTGTGACTCTGATGGCAGCCCAGAGCACTTAGTTAGTTCATCAAATACAAGAGCTGTTTCTACTTGGGTGTTTATTCTGACCTTTATTTTGGACACTTTCTCTCTGCCATGATGAGATTCTCTGATTACAATGTCAGCTTTCACCAGAAACCTCTCTGTGATTTCACTGGCAGGGTTTGGGGTGTGCAGCAGCTCTGACATGTAAGTGGTGCTCCAGTGTTGGAAAGGGAAGTTCCTGGCAAGGGAATCTCATTTCTAGGCTCTGCCTTAGGTCTTCTTTCATGACCCAGGGC